GGATGGACCAGATGGCAGTATTTTGCTTTGGTTGGTCGGGGGTGGTTGTTTTTTCTTTATGGGCACCCGGCAATGAGCAGTGCCGAGCAGAAACATAAGATCCACGCATTCACCAAAAGACACACTGAAGAAGATGCACAGAACAAGCTCTGTCACCACCCCAACCTGGAGACCTCCTCTCCCAAGCGTCTGTCAGCGGAAGATGGCTGCTTTTGCTAGGGGCCCTGGAGTCCGTCTGCCTGGGATGGAGGAGAAACAGCCCACTGGTTCCCTCCGCTGTCCCCTTTGCAGGCCCTGCTCGGAGAGACCTCTCCCCGGAGGAGTGGCTGTGTGGGTCTGAACCGCCAACCTTTGCGTTGGCAGCCAAGCGCTTCACCGTGGTGCCGCCAGAGCTCCCTGGTGGCTGGAGAAGGGGTACACGATGGGGGAGCGTCCACACAGAGGGGCCCCACCGTGGGCATCACACTGGCGCCACACATAGAGGCCGGCGTCAGAGCCAGCAGGGACGTTGAAGCCGTGCTGCAGGAGGCCCCTGGGCACCTGGTTCCTGATCTGTGACAGGCACCGAGTCCTACAAGTGGGATGGCCGCTTGTAACGCCAACAGCTGAGGGCCTCGGCCTCCTCAGAAACCCTCCTGAGTCCAAGTCCTTGACAGGACCACCAGCTAACCGTGCCAGGTGGGAGCCACGGGCCCAGGAACTGTCCCCTGACCTCAGCTTGGAGAGGGGACTGCGTGGTCCCCTCCGGGGCGCCCGGCACACCAAGCCAAGGCCAGGGCGCTGGGCAATCGCTGGCTGAGGGTGAGGGCGAGTGAGAAGGGGGAACAAAACGCATCCTGGCAGCTCGGAATCTGGGATTACAGATTCCCGTGATCCCAGGACCGGGGGATTCTGGGGCTTCAGCAGTCGCAGTGCTTTGCATCTGGTGGGGGTGGAGAGGCTCTAGAGTTTGTCTAGTCTTGCCTTCCAGCTGCAGGCCGAGCACCCCGACACGCCTGGGGCTCCTCACGCTCCTGGTCGCTCCCCTCCCCATGCCCACTGCTGCGCAGGCTCCGGCTCAGGTCCCCAGAGAGCAGGCTGGCACTCTCATCAAGGTGGGGGCGGTTTCTCGACACAAATCACTTTCCCACCTTAGCTACAGCAGGCTGCCGGGCCATTATGGGATAAATATAGACGCAGACAGTGCGGCTGGAGGCTGCGCAGGGTCGGCCTCATGGCCCTCTGGTCCCAGGCTTCTGCCAGACCACAGCTGGGAGGTGGGAGGGGGGGCGCTTTTCTCTGAATCCCCAAAGACTATGCACGCCCCGTAGGGTAGGTAGGGTCCGAGTAGGGTCCGCAAAGGGGACAGCGGAGGGAACCAGTGGGGTGCTTCTCCTCCATCCCAGGCAGACAGGACTCCAGGGCCCCTAGCAAAAGCAGCCGTCTTCCGCTGACAGACGCTTGGGAGAGGAGGTCTCCAGGTTGGGGTGGTGACAGAGCTTGTCTGTGCATCTTCTTCAGTGTGTCTTTTGGTGAATGCGTGGATCTCATGTTTCTGCTCACCCTCAGATATCATCCCTCAGCACGCCCAGGATCCCAGCTGGCTCAGCCTTACATGGGACCAACCCGGCCAGCCCAATCCCCACAGGGGTGAGTTTTGCCCCTACAGGCGCCCAGAGCCTCACTGACTTTGCCTGCAAAGTGGGCTGACGATGCCAGTGGGACGCAGAAGGGCAGGCCGTCCACAGTCACCAAGGAGATCCACCTATAGGTTGAACCCATGTGCCAGTCGGGTCCGGCAGGGTCCCTGCCCCCCATCAAAATCTGGCTCAGTTTATAGTGTACGTATGAGACGCATCGAACAAAGCCACTCCCAGATGCAGAACGCCTTTGCCACAGAGACGCGGCCATGACGCGGCTTCCACAGCAGCCCTCGGGGTCTCACTGGCCACTGCATGTACTTGGGCAGTGGCAGCTGGGACGTGGGTGCCCGTGCTGCCACAGCGAGCTGCACAAGCTGGATGGCCAGGGAGCTGGCAAGACCACACGGCCGGGCCCGGGTGCCTGCTGCTGTTCGGAGTCTCAAGGAAGTTGCCCTGGCCACACGGGCACACAGACCTGCAGGCAGGGGCACAGCCAGCCCTCAGCACAGCGGAGGGAAGTGTGCCAGCCAATGGCGGGGAGACCTGGGCTGGGTTCGGACTCCCTCTGTGCCTCCCCCGAGCCCCGTATTTGTTTGCACTGAGTCTGAAGGCCACACCAGTGCTCAGTCAATGTCACTTCCCTACCTCCCTGACTTCTCAGTTACACAGGGACTTGCAGCCGGAGGGGAGCGACGTGGAAGCTGTCAGACACAGCCTCCACCTTGCCCCTGAGAGGACTCGGAGGCGGCTCCTTCACGGGGGTTATGCTCCACTGGTGTCGTTCGTAGGAATGCTGGAGGGTGGCCTGCGGTTCAGGACCTCAGGAGGGTGGACGGGGCTAGTGGAGGCTGGATGACAAGGTGACAGTGGCCACAAGCCCAAGTCGTCCCAACCCATGTCGCGTGAAAGCAGCTGTGGGACAGAGAATGGGGGCCAGCCCTGGGCACTGTTTGTTGGTACCCTAGGCCACTCGCTGGGGACTCCCAGCTCTCTGTGTGAACTCAAGCAAGCTCCTTCCCAGCTCTGTGCCTCAGTTTCCTGGCTGTGAAATGAAAGGGGTTAGGGGACCTGATAACCAATCCCTTCCAGCCTTGAGGAGGGGGCTTAGAAATCCACACACACACATACCCTCTCTTTCCTGGAGTCATGTTCCTACCCAGAATCCCTAGGCCGATGGCCTGAGTGCTCTACTCCTCTCTGTGGGTGTCTGCCAGGGGCTGTGCCCCTTTCCCTCATCCCTCCAAAGATGGGGCGCTCACCCCTGTGTGGGTGATTCCTTTCACAGTGGGCTTCACACTGGCCCCAACTTGGCTGCACTGAAGAGAGCCCAGCGCCCACTCCCACCGAGACAGTGGGGCCGGGCCCTCTGAACCTCGCCACCCCCCACAAGCCCACAACTTAGGGAACAGCCTCCACTCTGGCCTTCTTGGCCCAGGCCTCCAGCCCTGTTCTCCTCCACACAGAGACAGACTAACAGCCTGGCACGGGCGGAGTGCCGGGCCCCACCCTAAGGGTGTACATCATTTCATGTATGCCTCACCACAAGGGCAACAGGGGCTCCTGCTTTTGTCACCCCATTATCCCCATCAGAAAATGGAGGCCCTGGGAGGCCAAGGCACCTGCCCAGGGTCCCGGTCAGCCTTGCCATGGATATATCGAGGGTGCGACTTGGAAGAACAGAAGTTCACTGGAGGAGAGAAGACCCTCCTTTCCCAGCCAGGTCTGATTGACAGGGGTGGGGAGGGGGCTGCAAGGTGACCCAACCCCTCACAGTCACCCAGGAGGAGAGGGCAGTGGCTTGGGGAGGGTCCCTCCTTATGGACGACCCCAGGCCTTTCTTGAAAGGCTGACTGGCACCATCCCTGCAGGGTCTTCTCCCTGTCTGTTCTGTTCTTTCTTAGGGGTCTCCACCCCGAAGGGATTAAGTTTAGGGCCTGTCCTACTCTAACACGGTCTAATAACACCAGAACCCCCAAACCAAACTTCAGCCATCGAGTGGATTTCACTGAGAGCGACCCCACAGGACAGAGAGGCCTTGACCCTGTAGGGCTTCCAAGCCATCATCCTGCCAGTGAGGAGCTCTGGTAGTGTACTTGTTGGGTGTTAGGCTGCTAACCACAAACTCAGCAGTTTGAATCCCCCAGCCACTCCTCGGGAGGAAGATGAGGCTTTCTGCTTCCATAGAAAAGCGCCAGCCCCAGAACCCCACAGGGGCAGCTACAGGGTCACCACGAGTCAGAATGGGCTCGATGGCAGTGAGTTTCTGGTTTTTAAAAAACTTTTTTCTCCAGAAGCATCCTGCATCGTTTTCCCCCACAGAGCGGCCAGCTAGAGTTTGAACCTAGGCAGCTGGGCACCAGTGAGGGCTTGAGGGGGGGCCTGGTAACATGGGAGCAAAGGGGTCTAACTCTGAAGGGTGAACTGGGGGGGCAGGGCTCCCTCCGGTGTCAGGAGGAGGGCACAGTGGGTGGGCCAGGTGGCAGCTTCTGGGGAGACAGAGGACTGTACTGCAGGGAGAATGGGCTGCTGAGATACAGGGCGGGCAGCATATCTCAGGACCTTTGCATGCGCTGCCTGGGACACCCCCTCTGTTCGCCGAGTCCATCAGTATTTACTGAGCATCTGCCAAGCACAGCCAGGAGCAAGAGCCACCGGCTGCCTGCCTGCCATGAACTGCCTGGCTCCAATGCTGCCGCCTTCCCGGAGGCTCGCTGACCCCTCAGAGCCAGCCCTCTGGCCCTGCCTTGTCACTGCAATGGCTCCCGGGGCTTCCTTCCCTTGAGGGCGCTCCTGTTGTCTGACTCTCCCAGTGTTGGTCTAGCTGCCTTCCACGCACACAGAGCCTGAGCACTGGGCGAGTCTGTCTGGACCGAGGCTGTCTTCCAAGAGGACAGCCCAGCAGCCACACGGAGGACCCACCCAAGGGACACTCGCCGAATGACCAAATGAACGAAGGCATGAAGAGGACAGGACCCAAAGGCACAAGGGTGCCCAGTCCCCCCGCTTCAGTCTACAAGCCCCTCTGGCCCCTGCCTGGAGGAATCCCTGGAGAGTGGCGGGAAGGAGAGCTGGGGGGGGGTGGGTGGTCCCGTTTCCCAGGTGAAGTCCGAGAGGAGAAGAGTCTTGGCCCAGGCCTCGCTGGAAATGGGCGGCCCTCCCCAGCATGCCTCACTCCCCTGGGGGGAGGCAGTGATGCTCCATCAGGAGCTTCCGTTTGGATCCCTTCTGCCTCCCCTCCTTTCTTCCTGCTCCCAGACGCAAACCTTTGCTGATTCCTCAGGTCAGTGTCTGTCCCTTCCTCACTGGGCAAGCCCTCCATCTCCTGATGGTGCTGAGACAGGGATCCTGAGAGCTCCCCCACCGCCGGCGCAGACCTACCTAACAGGAGGCTGCGAGAACGGGAGGTTGCCACTTCTCTCACACACTTTCAAGGCTCCGCCTCTGTGTCAGGCTCTCAGAAGCACTGGGGACGCGGGTGGCCCTGGACACGATGGGCACTGGCCTCGCACTGGGGACAGGAGGGCATGGGAGGGGTCAGTAGAAGGAACAGGTAATAAGCAGAAACACAAACGAATCAATGAGATGATTCTGAAGAGCAGCAAGTGCTCCAAGCCCAAGAAGCCTCATCAAGGCTCCACTCAGGAGCCCAGGTGGTAAAGATCCTGGGTTGCTCCCCAAAAGGTTGATGGTTCAAGCCCACCCAGCGCTCCCTGGGAGGAAGCCCCAAGGGTCTGCGTATAGCTTCTGGAGCCTCTACTCCCTCCAGGGAATCCGGAGGAGTCGAACTCAAGCAACCACAGGGTTGTCTCGGACTCTGCAGGAGGATGGGGACAGGCAGGTGTGGAAATGGTCTCTCCGACCTGCCATCGATGCCCAGGCTGATAGCCCAACGAGGGGAGCTGCGAGCTGAGAAAGGCCTCTCTGGATAAGCTCAGAACCAAGACTCCTCCCTGCATTGTCAGAGGTTGGGGGACACAGAGGGGAGCCCCGCCCCATTTCTCAGGCCACATTCTGGGGGTGGGGAAAGCTGACTTTCTGAAGCTCCTGACTCAGGGGTCCCAGAGCCTTCGGTCAGAAAAGCAGCCAGAGAAAGAAAGGAAGGGACTTGTGGGAGGAAGCGCGGGACTTGAGAGAATGCTCCTGGCTCTGATCCCGTCTCTCCCCATCTGCCACTAGAGCGCTCATACCTGGGTTTGGTCAATCTTCCCATCCAGGGGCTGCCCCAGGAACCCTCCAGTCATCCGCGGTGCTTGGATGCGGAGGGCGCTCTTCCCAGAAAGGGGGCTGGCCTGAGAGAGTCCCCAAAGGCACTGTGATTGCAGTTGGCCCACTTCCCGAGAGTCCCGAGAGTAAGGACAAAGAGGGACAATGCTTTAATGTGGATGGGCTTTCTAATAGCACTCTCACCGCTACCTTGAAAGAAACATACCTGGACTCTAAGAAGCTCCGAGGGCACTGCACCCTCTATTCACTGCCTGCCGGACACCCAGAAACAGGGCTTCTCTCCCGGGTATGGTGTATGATTGCTTTGCATTCTCACGAGGAGGGAGGTCCCTTGAAATACCACGGGGGACACTCCACTCTGCAGAACACACGGACCAGACCAGTTCCAGTGTGCCTCATTTTCCAGTGGAAAATCCCCCAGCAGAAGGGATGTCTGGGCAAAGGCAGACAGGAAGTAGAGGGAGGTGAAGGGAACTCAAGTGGCCTGGTTCTTTCCATGGGGAAAACTGGAAAAACTTCACGGGGCCCCACACCAAAGGCAGGGCGGTATGTGTGTGCAATACAAACACGCCTTATGCTTCACTCAGCTTCCAGGCAGGCAGGCCCATAGCCCATCTTACAGAGGAGGGTCCTGTGGATCAGAGGCCGGGTGTCAGAGGTGGGCCAGGTCTCCAGGGCCAACTCCCCCATCAAGGCCCTCCACATTGTATCTGCCCAGGAAGGTGACATGGGGCAGGGGGTGGAGGTGGGGGTGCGGGGCTCCCTGGTCTCCACCACTGAAGCTGGGCATGGGTGCTCCCAAGGACAGAACAAGCCACCACCAAGCGGCCCCCAGCTCTAAACACAACAAAACTCAGGGTGGCTTAGAACATTCTGGGTCTAGGTTGCCGGCTTTTCCCAGGCCATGTGGGGCCAAGGGAGGCACAGACAGCAAGCGGATTCCCCACTGGCTACCAGAGCCTGGGTCACCGGGTCTGAGTTCCACCTGTGACTTGACCTAGGGTACATCAAGGTCCCCTTTCTGAAGGAGGGTCTCCCCCAAGTGGAGCTGGCCAAATTGGGGAGCAAAGGGAGCCAGGGCTAGGGAATGGGGTGGAAAAAGAAAGGCAGGGAGAAGCCTTTATTTCAGACCCAAAGCGCTGTGGGAACAGGAGGAAGGGCCTCTCACTCTCTCTCTCTCTCCTCATCCCGAGTCCTCCCCACAAGCCCACCCCACCCCCACACACCCGTCCCCACAAACACACAGGTGCCAGACAGCTTTTGCGCAAAAACTAGTTTGCAAACACACACCCGACTGACTTCTGGGAAGCTTCCCAGCTCCACGCCCCCTCTCGTTTTCTCTTCCGGGCCCAGAGCCGGCCTTGGGGCAGCTCCCTGGATGGGGGCGAGGGGCGTGGGGAGCAAGGGCGGTGGGCGCAGAGGGGCTGGCACCGAGGAACGCC